AGCAGTTTGTATACTACTCCTGGTGGTGGGAGGAGGAAGGAATGAGAATTCTCTGAAGTAGCAGGAAGCATCATAAAATGGTACAAATTCAGGAGGTGACCACTCAAATGACACTACATAAGGGAACCACAGGGTATGTCAAGATCATCACTGAATAAGCCCACAGTGACCTTGGGGCAGATAACCACTGCTCCATGTAGTGGGAAGAGTTTTGCTCTCAGGATCAGAAGCAAAACCTCCAAAATTGCCCTGACCCTAGAGCCTACTGGCTCTCCAAAACAGCTTCCTGGTTTTAGAGAAAGAGATGTGCTTATCATCAAATCACCAGGCCTGTAGGGTACCATCCCAAGACCTTGACCCTGGGCTGTTACTACCTATCCCAAGAATGTTCCTTCTCCTTGCCTGAGGGCCCAAATGAAAGCCTTGCTGGATCAGGAAAGTCCTTATCACAGTAGTACTTTAATTTCAAATACTTGTCACTTGATGTCCTACTGTGCTTATCTCAAGAAGAAAACTGGAAATGTGGCACACCAGGCTTCAAGTCTAGTTGAGACCCTGCAAAGCCTCCTTGTGCAGCTTGTTAGAGGCATGTTCTTTGATATGGGGCTGTGTCTTATGTCTCTTGTAGACCAGGCTAGTCTCAAACTCACAGAGATCCACCTGCCTCCTGAAAGCTGGGATTACAGATGTGTACAACCATCCCCCACACAAACAAATTTTTTGTCCTAAAAATCACTAGTTTTTACTATCCTGGGTTGCCTTCCACCTGTAGAACGAGAGAATCATTCCAGTCCGCACTGCGTCGCATTCTGTGCAAGCTCAGCACAGGGTGTGGAGGAGGAAGAGCATGAACCTGTGAACTGCAAGAGGAGAGCTGGGTCCTCTCCTTGAGAAAGGGGTCAGCGATACTGTAATCCGTGTCTCTTCAGATCTCTAAAAGGTCCAGGTATGGAGTAGAAGCCTGGGCCAGGGCCTGCTGTGCTGTGCCTTTAACCCCACTCTGACCCTTAAGGAAGTTCTCTTGTTGCTCAAGCCTCACCAGCAAATCGGGGACATCTGGCCAACCCACCAGTCACAGGTCTCTCAGGACACATCCTGGAGCCATGATGCAGGCTTGATTGAACAGCAGGACAGGCACCAGGGGATCAATTGCTGCACTGTCAGTGCTGCTGTAGGGGATGTGAGTGGAGCATGGATGAGCATAGAAGCCACAGCATGGTGAGTGAGGGGATGCTATCCTAATATGGGATGGATGGAAAGGTTAGGAAACATGGGAGATGGTGTGGCAGGCACTCGATGAGGCTGGTTGGCAACCTGAGGCCACATTCAGTGTTCTTTGACATGCCAAGTGGTCCTAGTGACTCTCCAGACCCTGGTGCTGGCCTGTGAATCCTTCACTCTGTGGGCATCTGTGGAAAACATTTCTAACAGGGAGATTTTTGCAGAAACATCTTTGTAGTCAACTCCAATATGCTTTTGGTGCATGCGGAAGGCAACTTGCCAAGGTTGGAGCAACTTAGTTTCTGTAGCATCTTCTAGAAATTCTGCATTTAACATTTAACATTTGGGTATAAGATCCATTTGGATTTAATTTTGTGCACTATGTAAATGGTATTCTTTTTCTTTATTTTCAATATTTATTTATTTTTGGTATTTTTGAGATATGATTTCTCTGTGTACCTTTTGAGCCTGACCTGGAACTTGCTCTGTGGAGCAGGCTAGCCCAAAACTCATAAATATTTGCCTTCGTCATCCTCCCCAGTAAGGGGATTAAAGGTGTGGGCCTCTAAAGACATTGGTGTATGGACACAGTCCACAATTAAAAAGTGATGTGGAAGGGTAGAATTGTTGACATACAGGAATTACCAATGCTTAGGGAATAGTAACTCCTACAAAATAGAATTGAACTGACAGAGTGCTGCCTCTAAAATAACCCAAAGATAAGTAATATGCTAACTAGGCCTGCTAGAGATTAGGATGCTAAAATTCACATCTGTTCTCCCGAATTGCCCTAACCATTGGTTCCAAACCATGACAAAGGAGCAACCCCTGATTTACAAACAGCCCCTAGGCCCATCCCTATATTAGGGAGTCTGACTTTTACAAGCTGATCAAGGGGCATTACTGGGTCACAAAGAACATTAGGGAATGGTGTGCCATAGAGGTGACAAGTATTTGAAAAGGAAAACACTGTTGTGTTGAGGGTGAATGGATCAAGCAAGACTTTCTGTTTATGTCCTCACTCATTGAGAAGGAACATGCTTGGGAGATCCAGTAACAGACTGGTACCTAGCCCTAGGAGTTTTCCACCAGGCCCTGGGGATTTGAGAATAAAAGAAAGCTCCTCTATTAAAACTAGGAAGGTGCTTGGGAGAGAATGTAATGGTCTGGAGCCAGGGCCTTTGAGGAGGGTTTGCTTCAGATCCTGAGAAAACAACTTTTCTTAACACATGGAGCGGTGGTTTTCAGTACCAAAGCCACTAGGGGCTTAGTCAGTAATGTTCTTGTTATACCCTGTGTTCCCCTTGTGCTGCATTGTTTGAGTAGCCTTCTCCTGAGTTTGTCCCATTGTATGATATTTTCTGCTGCCTTCTGCAAAGTCTCCATTTTCTCTCCATTTCCCCCTGGAAGAAGTATACAGGAATCAATTCCTCTTAAGAAGCTTTCTTACAATAAGACACACCTTAAGCAAGACCTCCATGACCCAGCTTCTACCTTTTCTTTGTTCTGGTTTTTCTATATTTCTCATCTCCTGGCACCTGTATCTCAGGACCTGTAAGAAAAGTATGATATTCTGTCTCATGTTACTATTCTACTATAAAATAATTATGGTAATATCTTTGTGTTGAAGTCTTTCCTTTGTCTAAATGGCCTGCATTATTGTTTCCTGTCACTATTTAAATTTTTCAAAGTGTAAGCTGCAGTCTGAACCTAAAAGAACTTAAACATGACAGCATATGTGGAATCAAATATATTTTATGAGCCAGACAGTGGTGGTTAACACTTTTAACGCCAGCACTCAGGAGTAAAAGGCAGGCAGTCAAAACACAAAATAAAACAAAACAAAACAAAGATAGTTTTAGTCTCTGTCATCATTGAGCATTAGCCAGAGATGGATGCATGTTGTCATTAGAGAAAGTTTCCTCCTTTTTTGTTTTTGTTTTTGTTTTTGAGACAGGGTTTCTCTGTATTGTTTTGGAGGCTGTCCTGGAACTTGCTCTGTAGACCAGTCTGGCCTTGAACTCAAAAAGTCCTGCGTGCCTCTGCCTCCCGAGTACTGAGATTAAAGGCGTGCACCACCAACACCAGGCAAGTTTCCTTCTTTTAATCTCTTAAGTCTGTGTAGTTATTTCTTAGTGAAAAGACAAATTAATTCTAGAAAGCTGCACTACCGGCCTGTTAGAAAAATATTTCTGAGACAAGGATTCTCATGTTGATACAGGTGGCCTTGATCCCATCCTGTTGCTATGCAGGGAATTGACCTCTCTGTCTACTTCATTTCCCCTTTTCAAATTCAGTGACTTCATGACCTCTGTTTTAAAATCATCCATTTGGATCCTGAAGTTGATTTCCATTGCTGTCACAGGGAAAGGATTTGCATGTGTAGCATGGTTTCTGCTTTCAGACCAGAGTAGAAAGAAGAGTTTATTGAGTTCACTGCTAGGAGTAAAAAGGATAGGAAATCAACTTCTTGAGTCACCATCCTGGAAAAGAACCCAATTGTGGCGATGAGATAGTTTGAATATAATCTCATAGGGAGTGGCACTATTAGAAGGCATGGTATTGCTGCAGTGAGTTTGGCATTTCTGAAAGAAGTGTGTCATCACTGGTGATGGACTTTGAGGTTTCCTATGCTCTTGGTATGGCCAATCATACCAGACAAATTCCTGTTGCCCACATATCAAGATGTAACCAACACCACATCCTCCTTCACATCATGCTCCCCACTATGATGGCAATGGACTGAACCTCCATATCTGTAAGTGAGCCACCCCAATTAAGTGTTTTCATCTTACATTCATTCCCCAGTTGCCCTCCCTTCCCATCTCCTGCCCCCTACTGCTCACCCTAACCCATTCCACATCCACACTCAGAGGGGGTAAGGAGTCAACAAGTCTGTCATACAGAGTTCAGGAAGGACCAAGCCACTCCATCCTGTATCATCCTGTGCAAGTCATCCCATAATAGGGTGTGGGCTTCAAAAAGCCAGTTCATGCACCTGGGATGGGTCCTGGTTTCATTGACAGGGGATCCCTAAGAGATCATGTCCCATTACTGTCACCCACACTCACAGGTTTGGTCCCATGCAGGTTCGCCAGCTGTCAATCCATAGTCTCTGAGCTCCCACTAGTGACATGACTAGGAGGTGTGACTGTGTTGGATTGGGATTTTCCTTGTTAGAGGAAGCATATCACTGTGGGTCAGGCATTAATGTTTCTTATATTCTGAATGATTCCCAGTGTCAGCCACTTTCCTGTTGCCTCTGAGTCAAGATGTTAGGACTCTAACCTTGAGCACCACATCTGCCTGCACGCTGCCATGCCCCTGAAATGAGGGTGATTAACTAAACTTGTTAAATTTTAAGGAACATACCTCAGTAAAATATTTTCTTTGTAAGTATTGACATGGCTCATTGTGTCTTCACAGCAATAAAAGCATAACATAGACAGAAGTTGATGCCATGGACTGGGGTATTGCTGTGAGAGCCTGGCACTGTCATACAATTTCTCTGATGTGCTCTCAGTAGTGTTGATCTGCTGGCTTGCCTCTCCCTTTATGTCTGTTCATTGGGATTTGTTCCTCAAAGTTATATACTATTTAAAGTACCAAGAAATGCTGCATGTGAGCCTCCTACTCAGTTTCCTTCTAAAGTGATGGGTGAATACATTGTAATGTTCATGTCATGGAATAAGTGAGGGAAGCACCAGAATTATTTGACTATACTGTCAAAGATATATATATTTATATCAAATGGGAGTATCACACTCTCTGTTTTGCATATGTGTGGGTTGTTTTGGGATGCAGTGACCTATGATGATGTGCACATCAGCTTCACTCAGGAAGAGTGGGCTTTGCTGAATCCTTCCCAGAAAAGTCTCTACAAGGATGTGATGCTGGAGACCTACAGGAACCTCACTGCCACAGGTGTGACTGAATTTTCATTCATGATTTAAAATAAGGGGACAACTGCTTCTTGGTTATTGGTACTCTTCTGTAATTTTGATTGAGAAAAGGAAATATTAGGTGAATAAGACATAGTCCTAATATTCATTGAAGATATTAACTAAATTTTGATTTAACTTCCATTCATATTTCATATATTTTGTGGTATTGTATTTTAGGATACAGGTGGGAAGACCATAATACTGAAGAACACTGTCAACATTCTACAAGACATAGAAGGTAATTTTCATGTACATCTTTTTATACAAATTTGCCTCTGAAGAAACACTAAAGTATTCTAGAAATTTTAAAGAAAAAAAAACAATATTAATAAGCACAGCTTAAAGTATATTAATGATTCCTCATTTCTCACAAAACCATGTACCTCAATGTCAGGTCACTATTCTGTGTTTGAAAGGCAACCTTGTGAAAACGGCAACAAGGAAACAATGCATTAACTGATACCACCATATGAATTAGAGTCTTATGGGAGCTACATTGTAGAAATGCCAATCTGTTTAGATTAATACCACTCAGATATTTTAAATGGAATGCACATTGAATAGATGATAGATATATGTTCAAGACCTCAGAAAAAAATGAGTCTATAGTAAAGTTCACCTTAGTCATATATTTGTGACATTGCTAAGTATATTGAAAGGGTAAGTTTATAGTCAAGAAGGTTGTTGTAGAGAAACCTTAATCGCTATACCACATTTCTGAGAGGAAAACTATTTCAAACTGTGTGAATGCAATGGGGAAAACTTTTACTGGTTATTTGTCCTTAAATGAGCATATGACATCCAGTCAGTGGTGGTGGAGCACACCTTTAATCTCAGCACTCTGTGAGGTCATATGACATCCAGTCAGTGGAGGTGGAGCACACCTTTAATCTCAGCACTCTGTGAGGTCAAGGATAGCAAGGCCTACAAATTGAGTTTCAGTTTGGGCTCCAAAGCTACACAGAAATAACCTGTCTCCAAAACTAAGAAAAAAATCAACATCATATGTGATTATAAATACAAGCCATGTGAGCATAGAATAAGGGAAGAAGCAATAGCATCCCCCCTCTCTCTTACACACACGCACACACACACAAACACACACATACACACACACACTTGGGACAATTACGGGATATGAAAGATGATTCGTAAGCCCTAATTTGAGTAGATTTGTTGAATGTAATACAAGTTTACAATTGATTCATTTTCCAATTTCATTGCAAAGCCATCAACAAATTCACACAGCAGAAAAGCCCTATGAGTTTTGGATTGTATGAATACTTCCATTTGCCCTGGTATATTCTTCCAATGTAGCATGATTCACACTATAGGAAAAGTTATGAAGGCCGTTAGCAGGGCAGGGCTCTGAGTTCCTCAATTTCTTTTCAAAACAAGGGAAAATCTCATATAAATAAGTTGCTGTAAATTTGGGCTGTGAAATAAAGGCTTTATCTAAAAAGGAAGTCATCTTCTAAGCCGCAAAACAAACCCTCATGAAGGGAAGCATAATGAATGTAAAAGTTAAGATTTGATTCCTACTTACAATTAGGCAAAATTATAAAATTAATTCATACAGATATGAAGTTTCATCAGTATAATGCATGTGGTAAAGCTTTTACATGTGCCTATTACCTTTGTGGGAATGAGCAAAGCCATAAACGAGAGAAACCCTATAATTACATTCAGTGTATTAAAACCTTTGTGTGTTACAGGCATTTTCAAAGGCATGAAAAAATTCATACTGGAGAGAAACCATATGAAAATCTGCAGTATTGTGAAGTCTTTGCATGTCACAGTTGTCTACAACTCGATAAAAGAACACATACTGGAGGGAAAACACATGAATGTAATCAATGTGGTAAAAACTTTGCAAGCCATGGTGAGCTTAAAAGTCATAAAGAACACACACTGGAGAGAAACTTTATGAATGTAATCAATGTTCTAAAGCCTTTGCAAGTCCTGGTGTGCTTAAAACACATATAAGAAAACATACTGGAGGGAGACCTTTTGAATGTGATCAATGGTGTAAGGCATTGCAAGGAAAGATCATGTTCAAAGACATAAATGATTGCACACAGGAGAGAAACCCTATGAATGAGCTCGATGTGGTAAAGCTTTTGCAAGCCAGAATCATCTTCAAGTACATAAAAGAACACACACTGGAGAGAGACCCTACAACTGCAATCAATGTGTTAAAACTTATTCACAGCTCAGTCCTCTCCAAGTACATCAAAGAACACACACTGGAGAGAAACCCTATGAATGCAATCACTGTGGTAAAGCCTACACAAGTCATAGTGAGATTAGAAGACAAAAAAGAACACACACTGGAGAGAAACCCTATCAATGTAATCAATGTGGGAAAGCATTTTTACAACACTGTAAACTCCAAATACATAAAAGTATTCATACGGGAGAGAAACCTTATGCATGTAATCAGTGTGGTAAAGCTTTTGCACAACACGCTACTCTTGCAAATAATAAAAGAACACATACTGGACAGAAACTGTATGAATGCAGTCAATGTGGTAAAGTCTTTTCACACACCAGTGGTCTCAAATATAATAAAAAAACACACACTAGAGAGAAACTGTATGAATGTAATCAATGTGGTAAAGCCTATTTACAAGCCTGTAGTGTTCAATATCATAAAAGAACACACACTAGAGAGAAACTGTATGAATGTAATCAATGTGGTAAAGCCTATTCACACGTCAGGAGTCTTCAATATCACAAAAGAACACATGCCCGAGACCTGACCCTGTGAATGAAACCAATGTGGTAAAACCTTTGTAAGAAATCATACTTCAGAGAAATCCTATAATTGTAAGCAGTGTGGTAAAGCTGTGTACTCTGCATAACTCAATATTCTGTGAGGTCCTGAAAATTTTTAAGATGGAAGGAAATAATGGCATAAAGGATTTGATAGAATCTTCAATGAACACACATTTGGTTACATAAGCTTCTGGAGGGAAAAAAATCTAACAAAGGTCAACAATCTGCTCAAGCACTGTGATGTCTCTATTGAGTTTGCACCTGTCAACTCATGTGTACAAAAGTCCTATGAATTCACTGATAAGGTAACCCTTCATATTTCACAATTTTCTTTAATTACATCAAAAACCTCATCGTGATCAGTCTATTGCTCTAAATTCAATCTTACATGCTAACTTCTATTCCATGGCCCAAATCATGATGAAAGAAAACTGTTAGGACTTTAACTGTCTCAACAGCTGGGTTACAGGAAGGAGTGCCTGCAAGAGAAAATATTCATGTGTGGACATCTGTTTGCTTAGAGATTTGATCTGATTTTAATTATGTAATGTCAGTGTGCAGTTTGTGAATGCTCATGCTTGTTGCCAAGATCATTAGACACTTGAGTATTCCTGTAGCAGGAACTACAGAAAGTTCTCAAAAACCCTGACCTAGGTCCTGGCAATGAACTTGTTAAAAATTTGCACACCCATATCTCTAACCCTGTACATATTTTAAATCCTTTTTGTATCATCTTGATATCAGGTAACAGGGAAGAATTAATGGAAGAGAAAACACAATTCATGTAAACAATTTTGTAATGACTTCATACTTGTTAGTTGTTTTGTGTGAACTCAGGTTGTTACTAAGTACATGAGACCCAAGATAAATGATAAGTGGGTGTTTATTTGGGCAATAAATTACACAAATGTCAATAGTTGGCGCAGAGTTCCTGCTCCTGAAGATGCAGTCTCTATCCTTCTGATGAGATCCCCAACCAAAGAGAGAGAAAGAGCAAGTGAGAGAAAGCCCACTGCACACTTACCTTGCTGTCAGGTAGGGAGAACAAAAGCACAACTCAAGAAACTTCTGACATCCTCAGAAGAGACGAGCATAAAGCCTGGCTCCAGATGAACTCTTGTGTCTGATTGGTGGGTCCACTAAAGGCTGTGATTGCCTGCTGAGGCCTGAGTGACAGGACCAGGTGAGCAGAGGAGACACAGCACAGTGGTGTAATCTGAACAAAGAATTCCTGTTTGGACCCAGGGGAACAGAAAACTAGAAACCATGAAGTGAATCCTGAGGTGGAGGCTTTTGCTACTAGCTCAAGGTGTCAAATTGGCAATAATGGATTTTTTAAGGTCTGGGGGTGGTGACTTCTCTTAAGGGCCCATCTGTGGCAACTTGAGGGCAGGATTTGGGACAGGGGTTCCAAATATTCCAATCTCTTTGTATAAATACAGTTACCTGTAGGGCTCCCACCTAAACAATCAATACTCCCTAGGTGTAGGGGCATTGGTTTAAGTTTGAGTTCTTCCTGCTGACAAGGGATGATATGGGGAGGTAGGAAGTCAGATGTCATTGGGCTCAAAACCAGAAAGTGGTATGTGTGCCATACCATAGACCTTAGGCATCTGTTCTTTGAGGGGGAGAAGGCAGGTTGGGTGAAGCTTCTGCCATTACAGAATGGTGCAGGTGGAGAGAGGCTTGTGTAAAAACAAGGATGCTTGCTAGCACCATTCCAAACCCCATCCTCAGGGTGCCAAAGTGGGGCCCCAGCTGGAGTCACATTAGTTCTGGCTCAGCAATTTAAAAGCCCGATATTGATCCCAGAGAAGGAGAAAGGGACAAGAGCTCCTGAAGAATTTAGGGTACATGTAGGAGGGGAGAGTGAGGAAGGATAAGAAGATGGTGCATGCTGGGAGATGTCATTCTGTAAAAATGTGTCTGTTTGGTTTGAATAAAGCACTGTTGGCCAATAGGGAAGCAAGATAGGTGTGACTAGGAGTCGAGGAGGATTCTGGGAAAGAGAAACATGGAGAGACAATGTAGTCCACCAGAGAAGTAAGATGTCCAGACCCTTTTCTCTGGTAGGAGAAATGCTTAGATTAACCATTATGTGTTAGATACTAAAGTCAGAGCTAGCTAGTTAGAAACAAGCAAACAGCCAACAGCTTAATAATGATTATAGCGTTGTGTGTTATTTGGGAACTGCAACTGGGGCAGAGCTCAAGTGGCTGGCAGGGGAAAAATAAAAGCAGCTGGCAAGGAAGACTTCAGTCAACAGGTGCAAAGGACTGGGGAGGAAGACATGAGGCATCAGGAAGACTGAGAAAGCAGAGAAATAGAGGAGAGCAAGAAAAGAGATACCATAATAGAGGGAACCTCTATAGATTTAAAGAGAAATCTTGCCCTAGAGAAATGTCCCGATATTCACAAGGATGATCACAACTAACAATCTAAGAATTAGTGGAGAGGCCTCCTT